GAAGAAGCAGAGCAGTCTCTCATTGAACTCATACAAGGCTACATTGTTTCAGCAAGAGAAGGAGGGGGTTCTAATATCGATAACGCTCACCTAAACTACGAGAAATCTCGGAATCTAACTGAAGTAAAGCGATGGATTTTATTGTCTTTTTTTCTGGAGTTTCTAAGTTAAAATGTCCCCACTGTGAGGCACCTTTCCATAAAGTGAGACAAGAGCATCAGACTAAAGTCATGCTACGTGGCATGTCTGGTAAGCAAGCAGGACTATGGGTAGCTTCTGCTAACAGAGTGAGGCAGAGAACCAGCGAAACTGGTCAAGACGAAGAAGGCAAGTTTCTCTACTCTGATCGTACCTTGACAGCAAAATTTTGTTCTGAGCAACAATTTTTTAGTCCTCTTGAAGCCAAGGAGCACATTGAGCTTATTTATGATAATGACCCTCTATTAATGAGAGCACTATTTTCCTGCTTGAGAGTCAGAGATGGGAATCCTTTTGAGAGAGGAGGAGGAGGAGAGAGAGGAGTGGCGGACATGTTCTTTCTGGAGATGCTCCTTGTGTGTCCTTCACGTTTTCGACCGGTAAGTCTTGAAACTGTTACTTGGCATATATAAGCTAATTAATCTTACATGTAGCAGTACTACAGTATGTGTCAATATTTTAAAGACTTGAATTTTACATTTTTTAATCACTCTTGTTCTCTGTCCTGTAGATGAAACGCTTGGTGCTAAAAAGTTTGAGTGACAGTCCTACAGAAGATACTACAAGTACAGGATACTATTGACATTGAGGAGCTAATGGTAGAGAAGAGGAAGATGGCTGGCCAGGATGAAACGATAAATGAAGATGACGCTGTCACTAAACCAAAAAAGTAACAATAATACTACTGTATACCCGTCTATTTATGTAATAAAATATTTTGGCAAATTTTGCATTTTTGTTCTGTTATGAAAATTAAAATTAGAGTTGCACCGATACAGAAATTTACCGATATTCCGATAACCGATATTCTATTGCCGATAAAGACCGATACCGATAACCGATTCGATATTAATAACTGATATTAAAGTTTATTAAGTAATTATTAATAAACTTTAATCAATAACATAATTTATATAACCAAAATTCTTTTTACCTAAAAGTAGTATTTTTGGCAAGAATTGCACATAGCAAATCTACTGTCTTCACTAGTTTTGTAATAGTCCCATATACATGATGATATTTTTTGGACATCTTTGGCAGAGTAATAAGCTAGCTAAGCCTACACAGGTGGACTCACTGAGCTGGTGCAAAACCATGTGTTATTATAATAGCATTACATGTGACTAATTATCCTACTGGCATGTGCAATACCACATGTTATAACATCGGAATCCCTAGCTTTTTTATAACTGATATTCTCAAAGTAGGCCAATAAGCCGATATCCGATAGGCCAATCACATTATCGGTGCAACCCTAATTAAAATCACAAAATTTTGTGTCTCCATTGCCACATGTTGCAGCTTGCAAGTTATTTGTGAAAATTTATTCTTAGAAATACTGGATTAATGAAAAAAAATAGCCATGATAATACACTGGTGTACATGTAAATGTACATTTTTATGTTTAATTGATTTTTTATTTCATTGTTTGTCCTTTTTCTTTCCTCACCAGTCAATAGCTGAGAGGTTGCAGACCTGCTGGACTTCACTTCAGACAAACGTGAACTCGTACATGGACAGTGACATTAATAAAAGATTGAAAGATGTTCCCAGTGGAATAAATAAGTGAGAGAGGAGAAGATTATTAAACTACAATGACAAAGAACAATGATAAAAATGATTTATTTTAAAACAGCATACATGTACATGTATTTTATAGTGTGTCCTTTTTGTTTTAGACATGGAGAAGAAGGATGGATTATTTCGTCTGCACATGATGGGTAAGAGGGTTAACTATGCAGCTCAATCTGTCATATCACCAGATCCTAACATCAATATGGATGAGATTGGAATACCAATGGTGTGTGACTCCTTTATGTATGTACATACATGTATGTATTGCTCCTTTAGTACTTTTTATTATTGTCCATGCCTTACCACTAATGGACTATCTACAATGTAAATTGTACATGTACATTGTATTTTGCATATGTTTTATCAGTCCCTTTATCCTTTACAATGTACATGTATATTCATGTGATGGAAGTTTGAGTAAATTCTGATTTCAAATCTTTGACTTTTCTGTACAACGTATTACATGTGTGATTGCTAATTTTTGATGTACATGTACATGTACCTGTGCATTGCACAAGTACATGTACATCTGTATGAGCTACTAATTACATTTAAATGTACATGTACATTATTTCAACAGGTTTTTGCAACTCGTTTGACATACCCTGAGCCAGTCACATTCTGGAACTGGTCCGAGTTAAGCAAAGCTATCATCAATGGACCACACGTTCATCCAGGGTAAGAGGGTGTGGCTTATGGGTGTGGCCTAATGCCTTATACTTTATAGTCCCACTCATGTACAGAATGAAGATGGTTCATTGATACTGTTGAGGAATGAGAGGCAGAGGAAAGACACTACTAGCTAAAGAAAAACTAAGTTCAGCCAAAGTACCAAAGAAAGTAAATTTTATGCACAAGTTGCACATACCATAATAGTGAAAAATTTATTATGGCCTGAAAATTTCATAAATTTATTCAAAAAATTTTGTGGTTTAATTTTTTGTAATATAGTACATGACGTTTGGAGAAAATTTAAATTTCATAAAAAAACCAAACTTGATCAGAATCAGTTAAATTTTCTGCACAACATAAGAACATGTATACGTATCAGAAAAAATTATAAAAATTGAGAATTCTCTCCTAACCATTTTTAATGAAATTTGCCCAAAGACCAAAGGCTACAAGAACATAAAAAATTTTAAAAAACAAGATTGAGTAGGATTCCGAATGACCAACGAAAATACGAAATGAAAATCCTACTCTCGTGATGCAAATTGTACTCTACATTGTACTTTTAATGTTATTTTTTAAAAGTTATGGATCACCTCACAATGTAAAGTAGAATTTGCGTCACAAGAGTAGGATTTTCATTTCGTATTTTTGTTGGTCGTTCAGAATCCTACTCAATCTTGTTTTTTTAAATTTTTTATGTCCTTGTTTGTGTTGATTTTTCATAACATTTATAATATTTCTTCAGTTACAATTGTAATACTTTCTGA